GTGTGAAGTCCTCTCTGAACAGAGCTTCTGCTTTTGAGGGGGCTGCTGCTCCACAATACTCACGTAAACAGTTTTTGATTCGCAATTTCACTAAGGCCGTAATTCCATGCTATGCCGTCTTCATTAGCAACGGCAGAATAAGAAACGCCTTTCAGTTCTTTTTACTCTCTCTGACTTGTGCAAATTCAGGGGGCTGTGGTGTAAATCAAGTTAGTGAAATGATTTAGCTTAAAAATAACATTTGCCATAAGAAAGGAGTGAAAGGATGTGAAAGGGAGCCTGGATCATTATAAACTGGATTATAACCTGAATAATTTCAATGGCCTCCTGACTGCCAGTGTAATAGAGGTGGTGACATACCATGAGGTGGAATCTCCTTAAACCAGCTCTACCATTAAAGACTGGGTATCATGAAGCTAACAGCGTGAAAGACGCATCTATTATCAAACCTGCCTTGACAGAATACAAAATAAATTAGTTGTCTAGTGTATAGAAAGAATCAACCACCTATCTACAACCAAAACAGTTTAGGTTTGGATATATTGATTTTTATTCAGTGGGTGGGCACTGTTGGAGAGAGAAATACCTGCTACTGCCACAGCCAGAGGATACAGTATTTACCACTGTCTTCTGAAAAAGGAGATGTTTCCTTATTCCTGCTCTACCATTCTTGTACTGCATCCTCCTCTTTCAAGATACAGCATCACCACCAGAAGTATGTTAGGGCTCTGCTGCAAATCACTAAATTACAGACTCCAATGCTCTTTTTTTTTCACTCTTTCTGGACTTCACACAAGAACTGAAAAAGACATCTCAAAATAACTGTTAAAAAAAACCCCCTTAGAACCATTTTCTGCTTTTTCAGTTTACCTGAATAACATAAGAATCTTTGGTGTTTGTGAAATTCTATTTCTGGTATGTCCAGTTTTAAAGAATTCAAAACCAAGAGTGATGGGATATATGATTTCCTTTGAAAGTAATCCCTATCGTTTGCAACCAATCAATTTGACAAAGCTTCTTCATTTAATGGCAAAGTTTATTAATTTTTTAACAATTAAAAGACAAAACATTTAAAATTTGCAGTTCAAAACATGCACATTCACCGAATGCCAAATGACATGTAACACTGCATAGAACTGAATGTGTTACTAAAAGAGAATAACTATTTATAAAACACAGTGCATTTAACATCCAGTTAAAACTAAACCTGAGAAACTACCATAAACACCAAGTCAAAAAGTCTTCATTCATGCAGCTTCATAATTTCCACAACAGTTTCAGCAGTAATGGCTTAGTGAAGCTGTAAAACCTCACTTTACCTTGAATGCAAATTTTGCTAGTACAGACTGACCGCTTTCTGCAGCGGTTCATACATATCAAGCACTGAAAATCTTAATGAAAAATTAAGTTGAAGTAGAAAAACAATTATTAATGCATTTATGGCTTCTATTCTACAACAAAGAAACACCATAAAATATGATTTTTAAAAAAACTTGTTCTGGTCACAGCTTTGCAATTACAAATCACTTTCTATATGGAAATGCTTTCATTTAAGTTAAAGTATCAACCCTCCGAAGTGCCCAGCTTTGCACATCATTACTCAGATGAGTAGTCCTTATACTCACAAACAGTCCAGTTGAAGTCTATGTGAAGTAACGGTTTGCATAAGCAGGAACCAGGTTTGGAATGCTAAAATATTCCTTTGTTTAATAAAGATCTATTGGTTAACAGCGAGGAAACTGGGGGAGTGAGGGCAGAGAAGGGGAAGGAGAAACTCATTTGTTGAGTTTTGTTACCAGTGAAAACATCCAGTACCAAGAAAGTTGAACTGACAAACTCATTTGCTTACACAGCGCTAGCTTCTCGATATATTATGAGCAGACTGTTAACGGAGGCATTAAAAAACAGGGAACAGCATCCACCATGCATTGCCTCAGAACACTTAGAAATATTGCCTCATGCAGACAGAATGATAAATCCATCAGAACTACAAGTGCTTTTACACAATACATAAGAAAAGGAAATAACTTCTCTCCTTAAATTTAACACGTATTCCAAATTACTCATCATTCAAGATGGGTTTAAATGTAATAAAAGAAGTCTTAAGACACTTAGCGCACATCTTGTAACACAGTGAATTTTATGGATGTATGTGGACATATAGGAATTTTCAGCTATCTCTTAGTGTTTCAAAATATTTTATTTATCGTTTTATACAAATAGAATGATGACTAAGTATAAATCTGTTGAAACTGCTTTGCAAAAATAAGTGTAAAATTAGGAAATGGCAAGAAAAAATTCCAAATACAAATTATCAATAGGTTTGTTAAAATTTGTTTCCTGTTACTTACTCTTCTGAATCATTTATATATATATGTATATATTTAAAAATAATCAAGCAACAGTATTTATATAAGATATCCAATTTCTAAGTGGCACTCGTTCAACTTTTTGACTGAAATTTTTCATACTAACTTGTAATTGTTATGCAGTGCACATGAAACAGATGGAAAAGTCCATGTGAATTCTACATTTAATACAAATTTGAATTTTCAAACAATAAGAATAGAGGCATTGTTACAAGCATTTTTGCCTATGCTCTTTTTTCTTTAAATAAACATCTGCACAACCCCTTATTTTAACAAAGATATGATGTACTAACAGGATGGTAATAGATTATATTACCGTGTACTCAACATGAAAATAAAGTGCATATTGTATACTTGACCTGATTTAAAAATGGGCACACATAGCTAAGATGATCTTATATTTTAAAATGGAATTGTATGAGCAATCAAAAACCACAGAATTGCCACATTGTCTTTTTTACTATTTCCAAGCAGTATCTTCCAAACACTAATTACCAGACAATAAATAACATATAGTGTGTAGAAAAAGTATAGACACAGGAGAAAAACCCATCAGAAGTAATAAAAATGAAAAATGCATTTTGCAAAATACTTCTTCGAATTCTGTAAAGATGTAAGGATGAAATGCTGTGGTAAGACTATCTTAAAAACCTTAAATTACAGTCTAAATTTAGGATCTTAGAGCTGTTTCAGTTGCCTTCTTCCTTAAGCTAGTTAAACTGGGGATATACTGTATGTTATTTTTCACAAACTGTATCACAATGGTGAGACAGAATTTTATTTCATAGGAAGAATAAGAGATCATGTAATTTCGCATTGTAAGTACTTTACAATGCATTCTAGTCCTCACGTCCCATCTGCAGAATCAGCAATTAAACCGCTTAGAACAGAAAAAACCCAGTAATTTAAAATTTAGCCATAAAGAGAATATGTATGGATTGAGTTGTTTTATATGAGTTAAGTACACTGAATGATTATAAAGGAGCAACAGTGTCATGGTTAATTTCAGAAATGTTTTGAAGTTGGTCATTGTCCCTTGGATGACAGAAAATAGGGATCCCCATTTTAGGAAAGGGGCATGCCCCCAAATTTTTTCTTGCCTTAGGTCAAGTGATTTGGCCCTCCCATATTGATCCATCTATTTATCTATGCCTGAAATGGCTTTTCTGAAGGCAGTTCTTGTCTGCATGACTGACTGGCAGTCCTGTTTCTAGTGGGATACGTTCCCTTTGTCCCTGTGTCTTCTGTTTTCTGTTTAAAGATCACTCCGGGAAAGTGAGAGGAAGACATTGCATAACATGCATATGAAATGCAGACTGCCTTCCCATTGACAGGCCTTCCTAAATATGTACTTTCATATGGTGCCTTTTGTTGGGCTTTCCAGTGTATTTGTAAGTTTCTCTTAGAATGGAGCATAAGAAACTTGGATAGTGCAATAAAGTTAGGTTAAGTGTTTAGTTAGATGAAAGGCAAAGAGGTAAAGTCACCTTTAGTAAGTATATGACTAATGAAGGAGGGCAGAGAAAAGATGGGATTGGATGACTTCTTACTTCTAAGTTGAAAGTGGACAATTTGGAGAGCAAAGAGGAAATTCTTAACAGATCATTGGGGATGTAATTGTTCTGCTTTTCCATCTAGTTGATCTCCATTCAAAGAAAAAAAAGATAATTTCTATGTAATGTATAGAAATTTAATTAAAAATAAAACCAACTGCCACTATAGAAAAATGTATTTTAAATGTAATTATGGTGGCTTTTAAACTCAGAATTAAACATGGACTAAAAAACTACAAGATTTAACTAAATTCTGAAGTTAAAGTAGCTTTTCTTAGTTTGAAACCTGATGGTTGTTGGGCGGTAAGCTGAGAAATACCAAGTATAACTACTTAAAAAAGTTATCACAATGTTCTCATTTAATACTTCCCTCCTTTTTTTTTCCCCTTAAACAAGGTGCATATCTCTTTCTGCAGTCACTTTCTCTCCATTTTTAATTAAAGGTGAGAGTATATAGGTATTCTGCATGACCAGTAAGTTGTAAAGAGGCTGCTGCAATCTATTTCACACCTTTATAGGAAGTAGCTTTAGTGCAAATAAACCAGTACATACCACAGACTAGCAAAGGGCATGCTTTGCTCTCTATTTCAATGTATGCATTTCAAATAATTTTAGTATAAAAATGTTGAAAATTTAATTAATTTTAAAAAATAAGTTAAAACAAACTTTATTTTGAACCTACAGTATAAGCAGATATAACTAAGCATCGCAAAAATAATTAAAGTTTGCTAAAGGGAAGTAAGGCAGAGTAATTCTTAAAAAATTGAACAAAGTAATATGCGTACTCAATTTTACAAGGTGGCAGCCATTTTCAACATATGCAATACTAAATGAAAATAAGGGAAAAGCTTGTATAAGGCCAAAGGTGCAAAGACTTGCAGTTTTCAAAGCAAATGCCGTAAAGGCCACTCAAATTAGACTCGCTGTACTGTAAATCTTTCTCCTCAGGTGCGAAGACTCAAGCATGCAGTTTCGAGATCAGGACTGGAGTTAATTTCCTTTCAAATTATTTCTAACAACAAAAAACATTTATGGAGCTTCTTTGGCAAACGTTTTTAGGTTAGTTTGACACAAACAGCTATAAACACCTTTACTCAAAATCTTTCTCAAAGAAGGTGAATTAACACCATTAAGATACTATTTTTTCAGCACTTGTTGAAATCAAAGGCTTGTTATCAACTGTATTTAAATACATTAACACTTAAAAACCTTCACAGATGCTAATGGTCTGTCAATGTAAAGTATGTTTAGCGATCTGACCATTGCCTTCTGAGTATATGACCAGTATTGATTCAACTTCATTGTAAAATAAGCAAGCTGGCAAGATACAAGGTAAATTCCAATCTGTTTACAAAGGCTAAGCAAATACTTGTCAAAAAATTTAGAGATGGTGTGTTACCGTATAGTTGCACAGTGCTTATGTCTACTGAATACACAAATCCAAACTTCATGGAACAAGACCATCATAGATCTTTAAATCTCTGATAACTGGGCCATGGTCGCAGCTCCCAGCAAAGATCTAGTAGTCTGTCTCACAAAAGTAACTACTAAGGCCTAAATATGGAGCAGTGTTCCTTCACCATTCCTCAGGCCTTTGTTTTGTGGTATCGTAAGCTCTTATTACTTCAGACTGGGAAACAATTCCATTTTCATCTTGAGAGAAGGCATAGCCATCTGCAGATATAAAACAAAATAGAAACCAGTTAAGTTTTAATCAGATTTTTTTGTGAAAGCTTTAATAAAAACAATCCAACAAAGGTCAGTAGAGGGGAATAAACCTCTTTTCAGCAATTAGTAGGTAGAAAACCCATGCCGTTTCTTACATAATTTTGCAATTATAAAATAGCAGAAAGAACTTTGTGCAGTATCTTAGGAATGAAGAGAAACCTACCGACAGGCAAAGAACATGATCTACTGGGCTTAGGATGCTGCATCTTTACTATAAACAAATGCAGTGAAAGGTAGAATTTTACTTCTGTATTATTAATGGATATTTATTTTTACTTTCAGTGAACACTTACGAAGCAAGTTTTGCTGCAGAGAGTCAGAGCGATACAAGTTCACATGGTTCTTCTTAAAAACATTCTTCAGTAGTTGGGCTCTTTCAGTTAAGCTAGAAAGAAAGTGGACACGTGAAAAATATTTACTTACTAATTACAGTATTCCTTTATCTTTGAGTCTGTTAAATGGGATTTAATTATTAAGTTAAAAGTCTCCATTCTCTTTTTTTCTTTTTTCATTGTGCCTGAACTAATTATTAAGAAGATGATTAAAAGCGTGTGTGAGGGCAGAGTATGAAGTCCAGATCCCTGGTAATGTTTTTACTTGTCACAATACAGGCAAAACATCTGTTTTGAAGCACTGTTGTGTGCTGACAATACAAATAAATGAATAATAATGTAAACATTTGAGCGTGACTCCTTTAGAAACATGAGGTGTAAAGGGGAGGCACTGGCTTCCTTGACGTAGCATGACCTGATTAGTGCCAGGCTGAATTACAGTCTGTCTTTTTCTTACATAAGACAGTGTTCTTAGCCTCTACTGACAGAGTACCTCAAAGGGATGGGAAAAGAAGATGGAGGGAAAGTCATATTCATGGCCATCGGCCGTGCATACAGAAACATACTGCTTCCATGAAAAGTGTTCTAGCAAGGTGTATTCCCCATGAAACTCCAGGTGTTTTTCTGGAGATCACACCCAAATAATAGACTACTATTACTACTAGAGGTTGGTGACTTCAGCCCATCTCTTTCCCTCTCAGCAGTACTGAGTCTGTTGTGTTATATGTTTATTGAGCTTTAATGTGATCCAAGCGTCTCTCCATTTCACCCCAACTAGAAAACAGAAAGAGTATTAAACAGTTTTTAACCAAGGCGCAAGCACCAGCTGAATGCTACAAAACTGTAGTGAATGGAGGAGTGAAGGTATCAGGTTTCCTTACTGTGCATCTTTCTTACACTTAAAGTTCTCTCAAATAGGATCCTACATTACTACATAAGTAACTGATGGACTAGCCATAGCTCAGAAAGCTTTCCAAATCTGACAATTTTGATAACATATTACAAATGTGCAAGGGACTATATTAAAAAAACTTAAGCAAACCCTTCAATTTCTTCCTCTGAATTTGATACTCACTGTGAATTAGAGCTTGTGTTTCAGAGAAATACTAACTTATCATTTAAACATTTCCAATGCTGAAAAATCCAGCACCTCCCCATGTGAACTGGTCTAAAAATTAGTTCACTTAAAAAAAAAAAAGTATCTTACATTTATTCTGAGTATATAGTGATTTAACTTTGTTATAGTTTTGCTAGATTATCTAAGTTGTCTCTTGTGTAAGGACATAGTAAGTATAACAGATTTCACATACCTATATTACTGAGTTTTGATCAGTCAAATTATTTTTTAGTATTATTGTCAATTAGCTCAACAGACTTACCTTCCCAGGCTACCTACCAGACTAAGTGGTGCAGGGAATGAAACTAGATTGCTTCCCTTACTAGATCAGCATTCAAACCATTGAATTAGAAATGCTCATTCTTCCTTCAGTGAGTATATACTTCTTATATAGGAAGTTGAATCATTGTCTGAAACTGGAAAGACTAATGGTCTATCTCCCCTTTCTGTTCCCCTCCAGTCTGGTGGTTAAAGCATATACCAGGAGGTGAGAGCTTGGCTCTTCTAAGCTGGAAGAGGGAAATCAACCTATTATTCCCACACCCATAGAGGAACGCTAACTGAAAAATCTATAGGTAAGAGGACAGGCAGGGGGAAATGCTTCTGTGGCATGTTTTAAATGAAAAGATGGAATAAGACTTCCTTGTAAAAAAGGAATTAGGTACCGATCCCAGGAGAGCAGTTGGCCAGACTGAACCAAGAATGGAGAGGCTGGAGTACTGAGACACACCTCGCTCTCAGTGTTTTCATAAGCTAGCTCTTTGGGGATTTATTTGGTTGGTTTTTTTTGTTTTGTTTTGGTTTGGTTTTTTTGTAATAATTTTTTTGTTCTAATTGCTCCTCTAGGCTGTGTAGGAGCCTTGTTTTTTAGTTCAGAGCTACAAACTGTCAAAGTGACAAGATTAATAAAAAATCAGGGACTGAGGTTTAAACCACAAGGATACACAGAGTGAGTAAATAAATATTTTCATGCAAGATGGGAGGTCAAAGAGGTGGAAGACCATGTGAAAACCTAGATGCAGTTATCAGCTGTATCTCCTCTGCAATACATCTGAGAAACCCTTCTTTAATGTGAGTTGAAATCAGCAAATTTCTATGAAATTTTTGGTTTTGACAGGTGTAATTTTCTAATAAAAAACTATTTCATTAAAAACATAGCAGGCCTATTCTAGCATTTTTGGTACCATCATTATTCTTTGCTTTTGTTCCAGAATGAAATGTTCAGATTGCTTAAATGCTAAGAACTGAAAATACTGCCTTAAGTTTTACAAGAACATGAAGTACGCACATTTCTTAGATTATGTATAATTAAGTTTCCACTGCACAGATCTGATTGCTGGTACAGAAAATACAAATAAAGCAAGAAACAGATTTGGAAAATGAAAAGTGCTTCCAGCTATTCAGGTATTAAATTCTGCTCTATTTCTATACTTGAAGAAATACTGCAGAAAAGAAATATTATGAATCACCCTGTTGTCATTCAAAAGCATATTTAAAAATCCACTTGCGAAGTCAAGAAATCATGGTTTCATAATTATCCAATGATAAACCACAGTAACTAAATGCCTATGCTCATTATGTGTACCTACATGGACAAGCAGAGTATTAACTATTTTTGAACATGAAATGTATACACTTACAGGCAATTAATCTCATTTATAGAAAGAAAATTGACTATATATTCCTGACCAACCACTTAGCTGGTCTAAAAATAATTTCCAAGTGGACTGAATGAAAAACAGTGATTGTATGAAGCAGCATTTGCGGTATAGATCTCTAAAGACGTTTCCACAATTCATGTTATTGTTAGTCTAGGTAGTGTTCAACCCAGAAAAATATTTTTGTAGTAAGCATTAATATTCTTGTTTCTGCTTAAGCATTATATAGAACATATCAGAAAAACTGTTTTTGAACAACGGTTTATATACAAAAAGTATCCTTTTACCTTAGCCATTTCAATTTTAAGTACAAATGGCTTTGTGGCATTTAAATTACAATGTCTCTAATAACAGAAATCATACTTTTTGTGGCACAAAATTGTTAATCCACTGAAGCTGCTCTATATATGCTATCAAGGCACCCTCAAGTCAATAGTATTCTGACATGAAAGTTTACTTTCTGTTGGAAAAGTGAACATGCAAAATTCACACCTTCTTGCTCAAGATATATTCTTACTTAACTGACAAATATATATGTGACAAATCCAATTTCAACGTGTTGCCTACAGAAGAACAGAATAAAGTATTTTTGGAAAGTTTTGGGGAAGAAATCTGATTACACATCTTTACACACAATGAAACAGCAATATACAATAGGAATGCTCTTCCAGAGCCTTCAATGATAACAATTTAAAAACCTTTTCAAATCAGCACTGGAAAAATACAAGGGATGACAGATTTTAAGACTATATTAGCATGTCCTACTTTTAAAGCATATGCTAAAATACAATAAAGATCTTTGAAGAATAATATTTTAAATTATTTCAATATAAATGTCAATTTTTATCCTAATTTTAAGAAAGCAGCTGAAAGCGCAAACTCGGAATTTAAATAGGAAATTCCCATCCTAAGATGGTTTGATGGGAAAACATCAAAAGGTAAAGCCTTACAATCTGAGCCGTATTTAAATGCATGCAATATCAGGTCAACAGAGTTCTAAAAATCTGCAACGAATATATTCTAGCTGAAAAAACAGCCATCAAAATTAACACTAATATACTTGTAAGTAAACATTCAGCTACTGTCTGATTACAGCACCTAGCCAACAGTACAATCCTGACGTGTTATCTGTGGAAGTTCAGCGTCTTATTTTGTGTTGTAGTATTTTTAAGACGGGAATGGACAGAGTGGAAAAGTTCCTGAGTTACCTTTCTCACTATTTCCCAGTTACTTCTTAATCAAATAGTGATTTGTATCTTCTGAGGTTATTTTGGCATTTCATGAGAACAAACCCCTTCTTCTGCTACAACATAAAAAGGTACTTCCAGAGGTATGCACACTAGAAAAATATTATTTGGTGCTGAAGAATACACAGTAAGTTTGTCAAAAATAACTATTTGTTCTTGCATGAAAAGCACTACAACTCAAGAACAAAAAAGTCTCATGTACACATTTAAAACAGATGTAGAGAACATTCCTTACCAATTTAACTACTTACTCTGCACTGGTAACTAGTTAATCCAGGCTTCTGCAACTTAGAAGACTCAAAAATGTTTACAATAGTTCAATTGCAAGATTCAAGTAAGTCAGTTCATCACACCATTTCTTTAACAAAGAATACTTTCTCCATAAAGGGTGAAGTTTTGGCTCTATTACCTGAATTAAGATACAATATTAAAAAAATCACGGACGGATTAAATCCTTAGGAGATATTAAGATGTCTGACAATGATTTGCACGTTAGGTGGATGCCTGTATACTTCAAAGAATACAGGTCTAAAAATAACTCTGTGGAGAAGGAATGGATCTAAGAAAGACATTCTGGCAGGTAACTAAACAACCTGCATGAAGACCTCCTAACTACTCAATTGTGGGATAAAAAAAAAAATTATAAAACTAGTGGGGAAAACACCAAGTTTCTCTTACCTAAATAAAAAGTGATTTGGAAGACATTCTGTAGGATGAAGGAAGAGCATACTGCCTAGACAAATGAAGTAAAGGTAGCTGAATTTGGGAATACAAGACAAGTCTTGGGAATGCAAGTACGGAACACTGAAAAGGTACATTACCTTACTTTCTTCTACATCCACAAGATGTTCCCCTTTTAGCACTGTCTAGTACTAATGTCTGCTTTCTTTTCTGTAATTCATTCTTTTACAACTTCTGCTTTTTGCAGAAGAGCACAGAGCACAGGCTGCTTCTGACTCAAAGCTCAGCACATTGATATTTGAACTGGTTAATCTGGAGGAAGATCTTGCCCTGAAGCTGCCTGAATGAGCACTGCCACTGGAGAGAGGCATCCATAACAATCAATTTATATCACCTTTAAAGGTAAGAGAACTTACTCTTGCAAGCACTAGTTGGGTCTTGCAGTGATGAAGGAAAAGCATGCTCGATGCAAGAGTCATCATCAACTAGGGGATGATGTACTTCCAGTATGAAGCTGCTGCCACAAAGACAGCATGTAGAACCTGATGGGAGACACTGTGCAGGCATGTGCTCCTTCACAGCCCACCACACTAGACTAGGTGTTCCACAGGTGGTACGATGAGCTTCCAGGCCTCATGGTACCTCCCCTGGTATTTGCCTATGGTATCAGGGAAGATGAACTCCACTAGAGACAAAACATTCTTGAGACAATAATTTCTAGGAAAAGAAAGGAAAAGTAGGAGCAAACACTCACAAGAGCTGGATATTCCACCTATTAGAAATCGTGGTCATCACCTTGGTATCCAATGTAATTTGGTCTCAACCTGGTAAATCCTAGTAAGCTGATTCCCACAGAACTGGAGGAGGGATACAGTAAAATTGAAGGAGAAAGGGAACTTAAGTATCTTTATGAATAGAAGGTGCTTCTTGAAAATTGAACCTACAATAAAAGAAGTGGCTGTTTGTGTTTTTTCTGGTCTCTTTCCATGCATATCTTGGTAGGAAAAAAGCCTTCTTTGCTAAGCCCTTTGCCATGAAGATACTAAAAAACGAAGTCCAAAGGAAAGAAAGAACATGAAAATCAAGTATCTAAAATTTCAGCTTTTTTTTTAGACTTCACAGAACTCATGAAAATGAAAAAATTGTCCAATTGTTCAGTTTTACCTTCTCCCTTTTCAAGATGCCTGCCTGAACCTTGAAGGAGGATGTAGCAAGGGAATTCTTGTGGAGTCTTAAGTTAAAATTATTTCTTCCCTCATATAGGTTAGTCAAATTTGTTTGCTCTGGACTGGCATTAGATACAAAGCCAGCTTGTTCTATTCAATTTCAGCAAATCCTAGACAGATTTTGCATCTTCCCCTATGCTACCAAGCAGGTTTTAAAAATTTATTTTAATTTTTTTATTGTGCTTAGGCTCAATTTATAACTATACTAGCGAATGATGCAGGTTTAAACTCACTTTATAGTAATTGTTAACACAGTCAGAAGTGACAGAATTAAAATCGTACCTCGAGTTTGTTCTATACGTGACAAAGAAACACATCAGTTAAAGCCTTTGGTAAAAACCTACATCTAAGCATATCAAAAAACATATGGGCTCAGTGAACCTGAAACCTCTTTACAGATGCCTTTTTTTTGTATGGATTTTGAAAATTAACCTTTTGTCTTTGATATATGTATAAGGCTAAAAATATTAGCGCTTTTTTTTTTTTAAAAGACAATGATCTACAGTTTTTTACAGTACCTCTTGCCATGCACAACTGCCCCAGGATCCTCAGACTTTGCTTCCAACTCCTGAACTTCATCTACCAGTGTCTTAAAAGTAGCTCTCTTTACTCTGTAAGTAATACAAAATACTGCCAGATTTACTCTTCTTGAAAGTAAAAGAACATATTGTTTTAACTTATAGAAACGAATATTCAATTTACAAATCCGTTTTCCCAGATGACTTAAAATAAAGCTTTACAAGAAATATTATAAAGCAAGTCTAAATAATATATTTTATCAGCTGTTCTTGCAAATTAGAAACAACAAATACTTATTAAAAAAGCCATTACAATTATTCAAACATTTAAAATACTAGCAACACTTGTAATAAAGTTTGTCAAAACCAAACAAGGTGAAAAATAATTTTACATAATCACCAGAGCTGATCTTCATTTGCTTTTCTTATATTAGTAATTAGAACACACATTTAAAAAGTAAGTACTTTCTCCTGTAAACCTCGGCATTTCTGTACTCACACTTTGTATACTACATCAAAAAGTAAAGCTGTCATAGGAATACAGAGAAGTCCCATCCAAAACACTCCAGAGCTGAACATCATAGCTGCCTGGAGACAAAAAAAGCACAAAATGTGATTATGTCATGACAAGAACTAGGAAAAAAGTCCTTAGAAATATCAATTACTTTGTGGAGGGTATGAAAAGCAAATTTAAATGAACCATTCTAGACTCTCTAATGTGAAATAAAACTTTAACTCATTTCTAAAGTCCCCTGAGTCGCTATAGAAATAGTAAGCACTAAGTAGATAGTAAGCACTAATTCATATTAAAAAGCTGGTAGAAAGATCACACTGCTTAGCTCTTTGAGAGAGGGGGAATCCTTCCACAACCCTGCTCTACACCACTATGCTGATTGTAGACATTTCCATTAAAATCAGATTTATCACCCCACCCCCCAATCTTTGTCAATACGTTACAAGAACAATTTCTTATTTGCAATTAACCCTAACAGGATATAATGGTTCCTGACCCTTGATATGGATATTGGACACTGTTACAATCATTTTGCAATATAACTTGGATCAAAGGTATCTCCAACAGAACCCACCGTACCACAGTTCCCACACTGCCACAGACTCCTGTTCAACAAACTGCTTAAGAATGAGAACTAAGAAAACAACTAATTACATAATTATGGAAGTATGCAACATATTGTTAAATGAAGATCTAATACACTAATGCACGGTGAAATATTTGCAAACCAGATCACGGCTTTTAGCTGTGTGTTTGCTTCTTTATACAGTGCTTTATATTAATACACAGGAATTTCTTCTGTTCATAAATTAACTTGGTCTGTAAACATACTAAAAACTAAAACACACTAAAAAGCCAAAAAACCCATCATAATGTATGGACGTTAAAGGAAAAAAACCCTTTAATCTACCCTTGTAATTCATGCTCAAGTATCTACATCAATAATATTATGGATGCAAGGAGTATGATAAACACTTAACGAAGCGTATTACTGATTGTTTTGCAGTCAGTGTTAAAAATACTTTTGTAATGTAATTAGATTGCACAGAGATTGAAAGTAACATTGCTACACAATGATACCCTTTCAAATCCTTTGCTTTATTACTTGGAGACTAATTCCTTTCAAAGGTTAAACCTCAGTATGTAACTAAAATAAACAAGCTGAAATTTTACTAGTATTAATTAGCAGACAAATGCAGGTAGCTTGCAGTAGCTAAAGCCTAATTTCTGAATGCGTATATATGAACATTTTAGAATTATACTTGATACATTCATGTGAAAAAACAAAAGTGAATTGTTTTCAGGAAAAAAAAAAATCTCATTCTCATATAGATAAAAAGTTCTATTTACCTTGTTTTCATATTCAAATTCCTACTGACACTGATTCCTTGGAAAGCATTAGAATCTATTTGAAATGACAATTTGGCAAACTTTCCACAGCTATGTTAAAAGGACATAGATATTGACCCGAGATTCTAGTAATTATTTCTGCCAACAGCTGTCAGCAAAGGTGTCAACAATGAGCAGTGACAGGTTCAAAATAAAACAATTCACATTTTCAGCGAAGGAAAAAAAAAAGAAAATTTTGTATCAGAACACGGAGAAAATGTATTAGCCCAGTCACTTTATAAGCAAAACATGACTTTTGACATACTTGATGAAATACTCATTTCCTAAACCAGCAGCTAATAGGAAATGTCTATCACAACTATGTTTTGCAAGACTTTTTATAATTAAGTAGCAATTAGAGAGATGAATTTTCCCAAAAAACAACAAAAAGCCTAAAAAATACAACTTGAAGTCATTATGAATCGTTTTTAAATTTCTCAGAACATAGCAAAGAGCTGTCCTTGCGTTAGCCACCCTGTATTAATGTTTGCTGGTGAAACGGCAAAAGTGATAATGTAGGTCTTAGGATGTTAATTCTGACCATTGTAATGCTAACTATGAATGAAGGAACAACTGGCGCCTACTATTCAGTCCATCCAGCCTTTGGCTTTACAAATGAACAACATGAATTGAGGGGGAAAAAAAAAAGTTTTTCTGCGTCATATTTGAAAGCCTGTCAGATTTTTTTTCTTTTACAGAGTTAATCCAAACCTAAAAGATTTAAAGCCGACATTCGCATTAAAGACAGAGGGCCTCTTTGTATTTTTTGGACGAAGAGGGGAAAAAATAAAATCCCACAGAGGTATTTCCTTCCTTTCTGTACAGAAAGCTCCCCCCTCACCCTGTAGAAAACATTTTTGTCTCTAACTTTTCACATCTCTCTACACATAGGCAGGTCATCTGGGAAATGGCAAACCAATCCTTTTCAGACAATGGCACTAACAGGAGCAGCCTGTTCTGGGGACGGACTCTGGCTGCCTCTGTTCGTGGTTTACAAATTGTTCCTAATGTGAGAGATTTGTGGTCTATGCCAAGTTTTCCCCCTTTAGGCCTTGTGAAACCAAATGGAATCTGCCACAAAAGTGGCTCCCAGGGGAATTCAGAAGTAATCCAAAATGAGAGCTGGGAAGCCTACTTTATTGTAGGACTTACAAATCTTGCAGGGAGGATAAATAATTTGTCGTCTGTGGAGCTCATGCTCAGTATTAGGACTTTCTAAAGTGAATTAACATTGCTTAGTAAGTGCATTGTACAGATTTTTATATGAGTTCTTATTTTTTAAAAAAAGAAAAAAATGCTGAGAATTACTCCCTTTCGTGGCTTAGTGGCAGATTAGAAATCCTGGTTGCAAAGCATTTTTAATGCACTGATGAAGATGTACTGTTAGGAAATGACATGCCAGAATGAACAGAGAATATTCCCTTTTCCTTCACTATGAAGAAAATACTCTGTGTTCTGCTGAAACAGCTAGGTCAGATTTTAAAACGCCTTCTGAAGAGAGAAACATGAAAATAACAGTAAAATTCTTGCCACAGAAAGCTTGTGAAAACCATTTTCAGTTTATCTATTTCAGGTGTCATCTAGGTATGTGTCCTCTCATTATAAACTACAGAACTGTTAAAATAATACCTCCTCAACACCATCAAAACAGCTACAGTTTCTCCTTGCAACAACCTACAGAGACAACTTCATTGGTTTTAGTTATCTGCATGTGTTTGCCTTCATACATGCTGAAGTGCTTACTGTTGTAATATTAAAACAGATCTGCATTTAACTCCAAGTACAGTGAAGTTCCAACAAGTGAGTTCTTGTAATGCCTCTATTCTTTGCCATTTAATTTAAAAAAAAAATCTCATAGTTCCTGTTAATTAAGAACTACTTAGGAACTCTGCTTATTAGGTGTATCAAAAACAGAGTCCCTCCATTTTCTGCAAATGCAAAACAAAGCCTTACTGGTATACAACAAATAGTAAGAGGTACTGAAACAGGGAGTACCAGGCAGTCAGGAAGCAGGTAACTGTGGACATCTGCAGGCAGAATCTGTAAATTCTTACTGGTACAAATCTCCTAATGAGACAAGAAAAATGAGTAAGACTAGACTAAGGAACATGCCTTTACTTTTTCCCTAGCTCCTTTTCTTCAGCTAAGGAACTAGTCCACTGCAAGATCACTGATTTCCTCACTGCAGGCGGGTGTGAAGGGTGGGCTGTATCCCACAGAGGGATCACTAAGATTATGGTCTTAATTATACAAACACAAATAATAAATAATATTATAAATAATAAATACATATATACAAAAGCTCACAAACACGGATACGCACTATAAATCCTAAAGCTTCAAGAAGTACCTCTGTGGTGACACAGAGCAATAGAGAGAATTAACAGAGACTTAGGTCTCCTACAGATGTGTCCTTAGTTGAGTCCCTTGTTTCAGCGCGTATTTTAATATTTTAAGTATCCATTAGAACACACATCTTGCCTTTTCCTAGAGAGTACCTTAATCACTCAGGCTGAGCAAAAGCCAGCACATTGCCTCTTCTGATCCAGTAAGTATTTGATCATTCCATACAAAGCGGAACAGCGGAAGACACAGTTCTCTGTTCAATCACCCTTTCAGCAACATGACCCTGAAAGTCGCAAAGTGCAGAGAAACTTAAATCTGGCTTTTGGGTAACATTTATTTGCGGTGAATGTTCTAGTATTTACCTGTTGGATAAATGGGTATTTTAAAAAATATCGGTGATAAGGGTCTAACTGTGGGAGTTAGTTCAGGTTTGTGAATCATCAGATCAGCACTTACCTCTAACCACAGTAAGGCATTTGAGCCCAGAAAGGGATGAAATGCAAGACTGCACCTTATTACATGTTCTTGTGACTAACTTAAGAGCAGTTGCTTATTTTCACTTTGTGAATTAAGTTCACAGGCATTTAATTCCTTCCTTCCTAGGTTACTTCAATAAAAACCCCAAACAAACCAGCAATAAATCCTGGTGCCAGCAGTGACTCTTATGAAGAGAAATTATCAGTTGCTGCTACGTCTGTTGACTTTAGACAGAATCAGTGATGGAAGTGCTTTCAAAGAAGAAAAGCAGAAAAAGACTAAAGAAAAAAAAGGCTTCACAATAAATACGAATATCCGGAAATTTCCTTAAAAAGCTGGAGAGGAGAATGACACACAAACAAAAAAAGCTTCCCCAAGAAACTGTTAGCAAAAGTTTGGCTAACAAGGTTGCACTACAGCTTTAACTAACAGACCCAAAAAATAACCTTTAGAAAATTAAAGACAATTAGCCACCTGGATGTGAAATTAGACAAGCTAGAAAATGTTGGCAAGGTGAGATTTAGCACACTACTTTTAATCATGCTTGTAATCAGAGAATATTAGTTATTCTGCAAGAAAAGGCCAGACTATCCTCTTTTCCCTTGGAGTAAAAGATTCACAGGGAAATCTATCTGAGTTGATTCAAACATGATGTAAGAAATAGTATCTGGCAAAGGTGATGTAAAGCCATGATGAGCAGATGAGTTCTGGTCATTCTACAGAGTGTGTTACCAGGATAGGGGCTGCCTGCACTGCAATAGATGTTAACAGGAAGGAGTACAGGAAACGTTGAGTTTCACTAGGATTTGTATGGAACTGAAGTCATTCCTCACTACCGCTCATCAGGGGAGAAAGTTGCTAC